CCGTGTACCGAAACGACTATCGGAATAATGGTAGTCGATTTCATACGCCACATGGCGGTAATCTCTTGAGCCAAATCCAAATATTTTAATAATTTTTCTTTTTAAAGTTATTTTGTCTCCCTCTGGCTGGCTTTTATCTGTAAATAAAATGAAATAAACATATTATTCATTATCATCTCATATCTTTATTTTCTTATTTTTATGTAAAATATATTTCACATGATTTTTTAATAAAAAAAAAATAAAAAAAAACATTATTGATTATCATTTAAAACAATTTTGAGTTTAAAATAATCAATATTATTCCACAAAAATACGTATGTTTTTCAGTATACGAACTGTCTTATAAAAGTGTTAATATTGAAATACAAAAAGAAAAAGTGGATACTATATTACTTTTGCAGGAATGATATTTTGATATTTAGTTTCGACAGGCGCTTGAAACAGTTTTTCAAAACCTTTACAAAAATGTTTGTTTTCACTCTAGGTCTGAACAAGGTTGTATGTCTGAATGTGTATTACCGTCATTTTTACAAACTTCAATACTTTTATATACCCAATAATGACCTTATTTTACAGATAAAATGAAAACGAACACCGCAATCATCTCAATTCTTTTGCTAACAATTGTTAATGGACATCCGAATTGTGAATATAAGGATAAAATTCGACGTTGGGTTATCTGTACACATGAAGAATACGATGAAGCTAATGGAAATTACGTTTTACCGAAAGGTGTTTTTTCGAGCATTGTTGAAGCATACAGTATTAGCTTGAGTAAATGCAAAATATCGGATATAGATACACGAGCATTTGATAATTCTTCTTTATTACATCGTTTGACGTTATCAGAAAACAAACTGGAAACATTGAAAGCGGGCGTATTGGATCCGGTTAGAAATTTAAAGTTTTTGAACCTTTCTCATAACCATATTACTGATTTACCCTTGGATATATTCAGGCTAAATTCTGACTTATTAGTACTCGATTTAAACTCTAATAGATTGAAAACAGTTTATACCGTATTATTTAAACCATTAACTAAATTATTAGATTTACATTTGGCACAAAATTTTATAAACGGTAAATATTTATATCCTGATACGTTTCAAGTAAATACACGTTTGAAATATTTAGATTTTTCTGGAAACAAATTATCTGAGTCACCGGAATTTTTATTTTCTTCGTTTGAAGATTGTGAACATTTAGATTTAAGTAATATACTTTTAACAAATATTCCTCGATTCGTGAGACTTGGAAAATTTAAGAATCTCCTACGATTACTTCTAAATGGAAACCATATCAGTAAAATTGATGATATACATACATTCAATAATTTCTACGAATTAAATTTGTTACAATTAAACGATAATGTAATAGAATACATAAATGAGATGGCATTTAGACCATTACCATTTTTATCTGAGTTACAACTAGTTGGTAACCGTTTAATGAAAATATCAGACACACAATTTCAGTATTTACCAAGGTTAAGGACAGTTTATTTATCAAGAAATCTTTTAACAAACGCAATAGTCAATGCATTTAAGCATACATCATTAGTTAATTTAGATATAAGTCATAATAAAATAACTTATTTGGAAGAAAACTTTTGTATGAAGCTTAATTAAATGGGTATCTTAGGAAGGGTCAATTTCGATAACAATCCTTGGCAATGTGCTTGCTTAAGGGAGTTATTAAGTGAAGTAAAGGTAATGGATATTAAATACAATGAAAAATATTTTAATGGAAATAATCCTGTTTGCGTTACAACTAATGAATTTGTATGTAAGAGGCAAGAAGATGTTAATAGTATTTATATAGAGCTGTACAACAATCTTAAATATTAAATACTTAAAATACTTGTAAGAGTTGTTAATAATTAGCTGGCGCCCGCGACTCCGTGTGCACGGAATTAAAATATATGATCATACTAGCGTTCGCCCGCGACTCCGTCCGAGTGGAATTAAAAAAAAGAAAAATAAGTAGCCCATGTGTTCTTCCAGACTATCATCTACATCTATACCAAATTTTATCAAAATCGGTTCAGCCGTTTAGGCTACAAACTCTATCAAACATTTATCTATCCATCCATCTAAACTTTCGCATTTATGACATTAGTGTGATGTGTTCTCCAACACTATGTTCCACACCTATTTATACCACATTTCAGTGCGATCCATTGAGCTGTTATCAAGATAAGTAGTAAGAAACATCCAACCATTGGACTTTCACATTTATAATATTAGTAAGATTAAGTCTATAATTCTAGTCTATATATATAATTACTAGTTTTCGTTTTTTAATTATTATTATAAAATTACTGCCTCGCGACTCTCTCCACGTGGAATTAAAAAAAAACAAGTAGCCGATGTGTTCTTCCAGACTATCCCCTACATCAATGCCAAAAGTCATCGAGATCCGTTCAGAAGTTTACGCTAGAAATTCTAACAAACATCCATCCATCTAAACTCTCGCATTTATAATATTAGTAAAACAATTAGTCAATTAAATAAAAAATCAATAGTATGGTACAAATATAATTTATTAAACTAAACAGCAATAAAATAAATATGCTAATTTATTCCGACTTGTCTGTGGTGACTGACTGTTTACTTTGTTGCGTTCCATTACTCGTGACGTCATCTAAATCATTTAAACCAGCATTCGTTGTATTAAAACTTATCGAATCATCCAAATTAACATTACTATCTTCTACATTATTAGATATATTTCTAGATATATCCAGTTCACTCTTCAACTGCTGCACGGCTTGTATGACTTCATTCTGAAAGCTCATGTTTAATTTATACAATTGTTCGGAATGTTCCTTTTCTCGACGGATTTCATTCTTCAATTGTGTATCTTTAAACTTCTCGTAGTCAGTCATCAATCGTACTTTAGATTCGTAAGTGTGTTGCACCATCGATACCAATGTAAACAGTTTCTCAATAACTCTATCTTTAATTTCTTTGGATATGTTAGCATCAGATTCTAAATCAGATTTGGCGTCTAATGCTAAATCGTTAGCTGATGATGGGTATCCGAGAAGTGATTTAGAATTTGACCCGTTCCCGTATTTGTTCGCTACACTTTCTACTTTCGATACTTTCTCCTTTTCCACTTTTTTAGATGTGAACGCACCATGGGTCACTACTTCTGTGAACACGCCTGAACTCGGTTTGTTCGATTGATATTCCGCCGTCTTCTTGTTAATCTTCTGTAAAAGTTCATTATTCTTCTCCTTCTGTATATCATAATTTGTCTTCTGGAGCACTTCTTCATGAACTATCGCGGTACCATCTGATTCTTTATCCTTCTGGAATGGACTGCCCGTTCTCTTGCTGAAATTTGTTATAAGTAACTTAGACATTTCTTGAATTTAAGGCAACGGTATATGATTGTTTTAAATGTGTCAATCAAATATTTCCCGTCGCACACATTATGTGCAGCCTGTGCGATAACGATGGAGGAACTAAGCGGTCATATTGAATGGTAGGCTTACCTTTCGCAGTGTGGGTTTCGCTCCATAGTTTTGGCTCGTCAGTGGCTTCCTAGGCGTGGTAATGAATATATGATCAGCGGGCGTGGGCTAGAATGCAGTTTGCATTGAGGCCCGTCATCGACTGGCGTGTTTAGTCAGGTGTTTGTTCGGCAAACTGTTTTAACGATAGCGGGATGATGTAAGCCGACGCGTGCACACTGACGCCTGTTAAAAAAAGAACTGAGTTAATTCATGTTTACTTAATATTTCCAGATGCGAATGTTATTGAAATTGAATATGCATATTACAATAAAAATGTTATGAGAAATAATAGTACTTCTATATTAATGTAGCTAATGGAAAATAATTTATCAAGCATGGAATTTTATTGAAAAACTTGAGACGTACTATGTTAGTATAACCTGACAAAAAAGGATGCTTAAACATGTTTTTTGTTAGTGTAAACACGCGAATATACTTCCTTCAATGTACACTACGCTTATCGCATTTCCAATTTTTACCGACACCGCTGAAATGGCATTGAAATTTTTTAAAATAAATTTTAAGAATAATTAACTTTATGTCCACGGAATAAAGTTGAAATTACAGTAGCGAAACTTTTACTTATAATTGAATTGATATCATTCGGGGTCGGTACACTTTACGTTATAATTAGAAGTGTTCACTGTTCAAATAATTACGTAGTTATCTCCGTACGACTAGATTGTCTAGATCGTCTAGCCGACAAACACATATAGGCGTCGACGGGGCTAGGGGCAAAGGACATGATAATTAGACTTGCTTTTGCCTGCGACTCCGTTCGAGTGTAAATAGTAAGATTGTTTGGGTTATTGTAGCTTTAGTCGTAAGTCTACTGTTCAATAATTCTACAATTCAGGTCGCCACAACATTGTTTTAGTGGCGACTAGGCCACCTTATATTATAAAAAAAAATAGGCATAATCAACATCAATGGTTCACTTCGGATTGACTACTCATATGTGACGTCACGATGTTTTCCTTCACCGTAAACGTCGGACTGTACATATGAAATTCGGTAATCAAAAAACACAGAACATAGTAGGGTTCTAACTCCGGACCTGCAGAATATCAAGTGCTGAATCCCTAACCCACGGCTTGTGAACCAACGGTTGCGAAAGTACATGAGTGCAAAAAAAAGAAGATGATCCGGGGAATAGCAGGAAATGACAATGAAAAGTAACAAAAAATTAAACAAAAAAATGGGACCCACCTGCAAGAATTACCTTTCGGATAAAAAAAGAATTATCCAAATCGGTCCACTAGCGGCGGAGTTATGCCGTAACACACAAAAAAAAACATAGAGACGAATTGAGTACCTCCTTCTTTTGGGAAGTCGGTCAAAAAGAAGAGAATTTCAAAATAGTATCGAATCGTTTTAAATAACTAACTAAAATGAACCTTGATAAAGCTCACAGGAAACGTTACTCGAATACTAAACGATCTAAAAGAATTTGTACGATTTACTCTCGTCCTAAAAACGATCACACAATTGTCTCGTGCTTTGCAAATAACAGTTTTTACTTTCTGTAACACTTACAGTACTAAAACTTTCATTGAAAAATATATTTTTGTATCTATAGTTTTGTGTCTTTCAACAAGAGTTCGATTTTTTAAGCAACTATTTACTACTAAACTAATGTACTAAAACTAGTAAGAAGTAAATTTATTGAAGTGTGGCGAATGTCTTCATACAAAAGGATTTATTCAAAAGCTGTCAATAGCAGTGGTAAAGCCCGCTTCAACATCTTCGCACGAATAAGCCAGCTCGCCCGGTGTAATACCACGACCACACAGAAAACAGGTGTGAAGTGGAAGCAATTCCGCGTTTCGTCTGATGAGTGTGGTGCCGGAGGCCTAATTTTAGTCCCTTTCCTTTTCCACCCTTTTCTTAAGAGGAGAGGGTGAAAGGAAAAGTGGATTTGACGGTGGAGAAGACGCATAGGAAGGGGAAATATCCTCTTTAGAAGCGTCTCCTCCTCCGTAAATGAAGCGTAGGCAACGCATCTGAAATTGCGGTTGTTTATGGGCAGCGGTCGCTTTCCATTTCGGTGGATTCAGGTGGCCGCTTGCTCGTTTGCGCCTTATATTGGAAAAAAAAAGCAAACATTTTGTACCATGTACTTTGACTACGGACATCTTGTAAACTGCTGTAACTGTACTGTATTTATAATTATCTAGGGAAAAATTAAATAACCTAGTAATAAATTTAGCCTCAATGATATATTTTCCTTTCACAACATCTTACTTAATATTACAAATTCATAGTATGGACGAACACATAGACTACTTACTTTAGTTGGTTTAAATTCCACGCAGACGCATTCCCGGGCAAAAACTAGTAATAAACAGGTAGGATTTGATTGTTTGTTATGTTAATACCAGCTATTGCTAACAATTTCGTTCACAGGGAGTTATAAAACTGAAAACTCTGTCCGCCATACCACAGCGCAATCTCTGTCTTGCAATTGCGGATGTCAGCGCAGCGGTGGCTTCGCCATTACGGGGATTAAGGTGGCCGCTTGCTCGTTTGTCACCTTATAGTATAAAAAAATCTACAGTTCATACATATCGTATATAGATACCAAACATCCATCCATCCTTACTACCATCAAAATATTTTTTTTGTGCCAAACTTTGCAAAATCCTATATCACGTTACGTTCGAATGTCGCATTGATTCTATAAGCAGTTAGATATTTTCCTAGCGCGTTACTTTACTCAATACATGACACTCATTAATAAATAATTAAAGTATTGAATAGTAAAACAATCACTTTCACCAATTGCGGAACTGTTCGTTACATTTGTAGCGATACATTTGTATTCCTAACAAGGATCACAAATATTCGAGGCTTGATAACTTTTTATAAATGTATGTCACATTAAATTACATTCAAGACGTTATACGAAGTTCTAGAAGTAAGCTATCAACGCAATTACAAACAGAACGAAAATTTTACATTGACGTTAAGGAAATTTTTACTTTGTAGCAGAATCTGGAATAAATTTTATAGATTACATCGTCGATTTTAACTCTACGAAGTTTCCATCACGCCCTCATTTTGACCGACTTCCCAAAAGAGAGGTACTCAATTCGTCTGTATGTTTTTTATGTGTGTTACGGCATAACTCAGCCGCTAGTGGACCGATTTTGATAATTCTTTTTTTATCCGAATGGTAGTGCTTGCAAGTGGGTCCCGTACTTTTGTTTGATTTTTGAGTAAAAGACTACGACGTAGTTAAAAAGTTTAGCTCAAAATCGCATGATGAAATTTGGGGTCTTTTTTGCTTTCTTTATTATGAGTAACGTGGTTAAAATTAATATTTGAGAGTAATTCACAGACCTGTCAATCCCTTTTACTGTCAGACGCCCTGGCCGCGCGCCCAACCACGCCCTGCTAACACCAGCTCTGCATAAATTACCTACAAATCTCAAACAAATTATCTGATTGAAGTTTCTTATACATTTTTACCTTGTACGTAGACTATGGAATTTGTCACATCTGAAGTTCCGTTTGTGCGAAATACAGCAGAACCTCGATAAGTTAAAGTCCAAGGAAATACAAAATATTTTAATTTATAGAGATTTTAAGTTATCAAGGGTCTACGTTGTAGAGGTTTTGGGCTCTGATGGGAAGGGAACATATTATTTTTGTAGTTATAGAGGTTTTTAAGTTATCGAGGTTCTACTGTACTTACGTATTATGTGTAAAAAGCTCTTAAATATAGTAATATCTCTAAAAAAACTGGCTTACTGTTTCTCTGTTATATTTATGGGAGGAATACAAATCAAATCACAAATAGAATTAATCGGTCAAACTGTGAGTTACAATGGAATTTGACATACATACAACATCAGACACAAAACATATGCGAGCAAAACAATGCCTTCGTAAGTCAGGTAATTAGGGATTACAATAAAGTTGCAGAAAATCAAGTGGTTTTTTCTGTAAGTTTTAGCTAAGCTTGTGAACAATACCAAGGAAATATTAAAATTACAGTTAAACTAACTTAGACGACTAAAATCTTTAACTAATTCTGGAAAAAACATTTGGTAATCGGTTGCCATTTAACGGCTTGTATTTAGTATAATTATTTTACTGCGAATACGAAAAGTAATTGTTGCAAAGACTTTATTGGTTGCTAAAGGGCTGTAATAACCTCTAAACAAATCTGAAAATCAAATTCTATAACCAATGTCAATAATTTCTATGCTTGTTGAATCAACAGATTTGATACGCAGGTCAAATACATTTTGGATAAATACATCTTAATTATATCTACAAAAAATTATAACTTTATTAAAATGTATGTACCGTAGTAACGGTACATACATTTCAGTACATCACCAGTAGGTGATAATATTATCTCGAAGGTGACAAGCACAATCTTGGCAATTTAGCCGTGATTATGTATGCAACCGACGCGCCGCCTAGTCTTCTCCCCCATATCAAATGCCTAGCCATCTCACAGTTTCAGCTCTCGCTCTAACCAAACGGAAAAACAATACAACCGACAAGGACAAACTAACTGGATCAAGATACTAACGAATCAGGGTACGGTGTCACAAACAACAGAAAAGGCGCCCAGTCATCGACGATTCTAAAACGCACGTCAGAGGAACATCGACATTAAAACTTAAGACGTTTTAGACACGAAATAACAAGAAGGATTCGTATCGAATAGCTTTCCCTTACACTTGGATCCTGTGCATTCCGAAACAACGTAACCGACGCCATCGGCTCGTACGATGAAAGACAATGCGTACCGGAACCTCGGAGTACGTGCTGAATTTGAAATAGCTGTATAAAAACCGACGGTCAGTCCTCGAATCTATCACAATCTCACCAGCTGTCGTCCAGTCAACAACGGGAAGGTCAAATAATAAATACAAAATGACGTCAGCTAAAGTGATATGTCTGGTGGCACTGGCGTTGTTCGGGAGCGCCGCGGCCCAACCTTCGAAGCCCGCCTTCTGGAAGGGCACCCCCATGGACAGCATGGTCGAGGAGATGAGGTCCGGATGCGCAGAGGGCTCTGACCCTACTGCTTGCATCAAGTACAAGGTCATGTCTCTGTTAGACAGCATCTTCAAGAAGGACTCCTTCCAGGTACTTAATCTAAAACTTTGTGAAATAAACTCTCTCGAATTCAGGGTCTTATACATAATTCTTGTTACCAGATTTCTGACGCAGTCGAAGTGACCAAGAATGGCGCCGGCAATGACTTCAGTGGCCGCTCCTCTGGCGACTTCTTTGACGGCGTCGAGAGCTACATCCAGTCCCATGACGTGACCTTCCAGCTGCCCATAGCTGACACCAAGGTGACCGTCAGCCCCAGAAACCTGGACAACGATGAACTGAGCCTTAACATTAAGTTCAACAAGGAGGGCGCGCGCTCCGTCGGCGAGGCCCGCAAGGCTAAACTCAAGAAGATCATCGTCCCCATCCTGGTGTTCGTGCTCCTCAAGGCCATGACCCTCATCCCCCTCGCCATCGGTGTCCTCGGTCTGAAAGCCTGGAACGCTCTGCAGCTCTCATTCTTCTCTTTCGTTGTCTCCGTTGCTTTGGCTATCTTCCAATTGTGCAAGAAGGTAAATTTTAATTGATTAATTAAAGAAAAATTAATAGATTTAGTATAAAACTGTTTCTTCTGTTACTGCCATCTTATGCACATCACTTAAAGTATAATTTGCAAAAGTTAAATAGTGTAAAAACTTATTCGCACCCAAACTATGCACATCATAATCAGCGCACATTTCTATAGCAAATGAATGTATGTATTGACTAACATTTACCCATCGTTTATCTCCGCTAACATTGTAGTTTACCCAGATCGCGGCGGACAACTCGCATCCGCAGATCGCTGCCCATGGACCTTGGGATGCTGCCTACGCCGCAACTCGTCGTCGTAGAGACGCTGAGCCCCAGGACCTCGCTCAAGAGCTCGCATACAACGCTTACCAATAAATATCTTAAACCACCGTGACCCAATAAACGACCCAATGTGACCCTAACCGTTCCAAGATGGCTGCCCGCTCGATTTTGAATTTCGAACACGGTTTTCCGAACGGAAACTAGAACCAAATAGAAAATGGTTTCACCGCGAAACTATGTACGTGTAAATACTGTGTAATACGATTTATTTATTATTGTGTGTGTGTGAATGTGTTGTGCGAATGTTATTTATTTTTTTTTCGTTTAAATAAATCATTGATTAATAATTTCTTGTTTTTTTTAATTGGTAACATCCTGTACTTTATACGATGAAAATATTCTCACAACAAAAGTTGGTTAAATAAAAATCTTTACGCGTATTTAAATGTTTGTTTTTTACTCTTATGAATTAACCTGACCCTTATAAGTACAAAGGAAGTTAAAATTCAATATAACAGCTAAGAAACCGTTTAATTAAGAGGAAATCCTTTTCCAAATCATTATTTTCACTATAATTTACTTGACTTATTTTTTATAAGTAAATTTTCCAATGAATCATCAAATATCGATTAAACTCGTATATTTAATACTTCTGTACTTTTCAAATCGTATAAAATGTAGTATTTAAATCTAGGCTATAGAAATTGTGCTAATCGTGGCAATGAAAGTTCTCAAGACACTTCCGTGAGTCCTGTCCTGCATAATAAATACTTTCGTATCGTAAAAATGTTTTCAAACAGGATACCAACAGGAAAAGGAGTTAGAAAGTAGCAATGTCGTGTTCAATAGTTAATGAGAGAAATTTATAACCTATTAATTACTTTACTATTAGTTTTAAAATCGATTATAGTACAGCAACTGCCACCATAAGAGCGTAAGCACACTTAAAACTAAACTATCGTCCAACTGTTTAGTCTCGCAATGATTCCAATGTGCTTATATCGTGCTTACACTACTCGATTTTTAGTTGTGCAACTAAACAGTTGAATGGGTTTCAAAACAATCAACAATCGCACAAATGTGCAATAGTTTGGGCAAAGGTGTGCGTTTACTCTAAGAGATTTTAGGACGCATGTATTGTTATTAGAAATTTTTGACCTAATTTCATACTGTATTATATGAAAATGTATAGGAAATTAAAGTTCAAGGGTGTATACCTGTGGAGTATATGTTGGTTCGCTAATAATAATGTACCGCCTGAATGACGGATATTAAATCAGTCCAGTCCCAACCGCCGTCTCATTCACACCCCTACATTGGCGACGAGGATTTTTTAATTATTATTAAATTATTGGTTAAAGAAGTATAATTATTTTGTGTCTGGCAGAAATGGTTTTTACATTATTTGTGTTAGGGCTACGAGATGCTACGAATGCAAATGTAGCAAAGAAAAAGTTGACGCAAACGCTTTTAGTATATAACTTCGCCCGCGACTCTGTTCGCGTGTAATTAAAAAAAAGTAAAAAGGACTATGTGTTCTTCCAGGCTATCCTCTACAACTGTGCCAAATTTCATCGAGATCCGTTCAGCCATTTAGGCTACAAACTCTAACGAACATCATAATACATATGTACTTGAAATTGTTTAAAACGGGTGAAAACATTATGCTGTTAATAATACCATAAACGTTATAGACGACTAGCTTTTTAATTAAAAAGTAACAATGTGTTGCGTCTCCATTCGTTAATCAGACAAATATATGGCTATTTACTTGCCATTTTTAATTAAAAAAAAAACATCCATCATTTTTGACAAACAAGATACAAGTTCCGCTTCCATTGAAATACTGATTTGTTTTTTTTTATTATTATTTAAAGGCATACTTCCCGAGAATTTGAATACCTTTTTCAACACCCTTTTTAATATGGTATTTTGTTTTTAAAACTTTTACAAACTTAATAACAGCGACATCTCTCGGCAAAGTTAAAAAACTAACGTCCATGATGTAGATTAGCCGCAGATTGAGCCAAGTTTATAAACATGGAAATAAACTCGGTAAGCCACGTTAAGTTGGTGAGCGTCATCTTGATGGCGTTGTAATCAACTATTAAAGTAAACTTAACTTAATATGAGAATGAAATAGTTAAAGAGTTCATGAAAGTTTGGAACTCCTGAAGAAAGTGTGAAATTAATTTGTTCAGAAGATCCAAGTTTTCATTAACCTTAAGGCTTGCAACTTGACGGTCAAGATATAATTTTAGGACGCAAAAATATTGTATTACTCTAAAATGTAAGCTTAACATTCGAGCATAAACAACAAAGAGAAAGTCGAAAAATATTTAATCATATGAAATTATGATACGGGACCTTATATCGAACCCTGAGGCATTCCTCATTTGAATTCAGTCGACACCCTCAGGATGCAGTGTATGGCCATCGAGTATCCTTCCTTACCCTCCTGACCTACTAGAAGGTGCGTTAGCACGGAACATTTGCCCTACTGCGGATTACTACGACGCTATATCATACAAACTGTATCGAAACCCTTTGATAAAACTGGTACATCTTATACCAACGATTTAAAGTTTAATTTCGAATAAAGTTGGGTTTCTTAACTGCATTTGTTGTTTATTTGTGTTCGGATCTATCGTGAATTCGACTGAATCTGTTTTGTCATGTGAATCACGCACGCTAGTGTAAACGGAATGACTGTTATGCGCCAGTTGTTACCTAATATGGCCGGTGATATGTTATGGAATAGAAAATTGTCGTGTTGTACTTTGATTTCAATACATTGATGACTATTTGCTTATTTCTTCATCAGACAAACTAGAATTGGTACACAGTTTTAACATGATAACAAAACTCTATGGCACACGAAGTAGGTGTAGGCGAAAATTAGGTGGCCGCATTTGTATTTTAGTATTCTCCCAAAAAAAATGCATAATCATACAATTTTGTAAATATTGTAAATCTACTAGATTTTTACACCTACTAAATTTCTATGTAATTCGCACATATCTAAATATGAAAGAATTAAGAAAAAACAACTAACAGTGTTGTTTAGAGATTTACGATCTTTTTAAATTCTCCTCTATTTAACTCGCAACCGTTTGTATGTATTTAAAAAGCTATGATCACTTTTCATAGATAATATCTGCTAAACGGAAGTGAAATAGTAATTTCACAATCCGGACATGACAGTTAATGCAAATGGCGGCAGAACGCGCGTCGAATTCAACATGGCGGACAACCCTTATTGCATAATGTAGCGAAGAGACACGACAGCTTTTTGCAAAACAAACGTCGTTTTCACTTTCCGAGAACAGTTGACATGTTCATGTAATTGTTACCAAAGGAGATACTTTGATTCTTTAAATCTTCGATTAAATCTATGCAATCATCACCGGTAAATAACTAAATCTACCTTTTAAAGTTTCCCACTATGTCTTTCTTCAGATTTCCGTGATAAGTGTTTGAACAATTCTATTCTTATATCATCTTTATTTGTTTGATTATTCCTTCTTTTGCAATAGTATCTTCAACACATATGTTATTCTTAATGTTTTCACTAATCACTGACTCCACTGTTAGTTTGCCTTATCTATTATAGACAGGAAAGATTTGTATTTTTTTCGTTTGTATGTATTGAAATAACTCAAAAACTACTCTGTCGATTTTAAATATTATTTTACCATTAGAAAGGTTATTTGTGAGTAACAAGTGCTATATTTTTCTACTATTTTTAATTTCTTGACGAAGTTGCGAGCAACAGATAGTTATATAAAAAAAACTTACAATTTATTTAAAAAGGCGTGAATAATATCACATTTTATTTTCACTTAAAATCACTATCATTTTAAAACAATTGAATTCTACTAATTGAATATCAAAGAAGCCGTCAGTCAATTTTTTAGGGTCTTAATCGGACTAATATTATAAATGCGAAAGTTTAGATGGATGGATGTTTGTTAGCGTTTGTAGCCTAAACGGCTGAATGGATCTCCATGAAATTTGGCACAGGTTTAGAGCATACTCTGGAAGAACACATAGGCTACTTTTTATCCCGGGAATAGTTACGCTTCCCGTGTGATTAATTAATTTAGTTTTTTAATGTTTACTCGATCATTCTGCAACGGTTCAACATAACTTATTGAAATTTGGCACAGATATAAAACAAAGTCTGGAGTATACATGGGATAAGCCTCAACCCCGAGAAATGTCCAGTTCCCGAGGGATACGTAGCTTTTTGTTATTAATATAGTTCGTATGTTTTCTAATACCACGCGGACGAAGTCGCGGGCAACAGCTCGTGTGTTATATAGAATTATTGAGGTGTAAGTTAATGTTACAAAAGCAATGCGTGATTGATATGTACAAGGTGACAGTGAGAGCCTCTCTGGAGCGCATGCTTAATCAACCAACCTACTGATTTATTGCTTTTAAATTTATTGACAAAAGTTTCGTTACAAAATAACATGAAGCGTAACTCAAACGGAAAACGATCAAAGAATTTTAACCACATCAATATGATGTTTAAAAGTTTACAACACAATAACAGTGGTGAATAGCGAACTATTCCGTGTTTACTTTGATGAGTCCCTCCCAATCCGGTAATAACAACGAAGTAACGGCCCGAGCCAAGACTCCTGAGGGAGCCCTCGAGCTTAGTTACAAACGAGGTATAAAGCGATACTTGCGCTCAGTCTCCTCAAGTCTGGTGAACCTGTAAATGCACAAAAATCTGATGAGTACGTTCCGAAAGTCTAATTTTAGTCCTTATGCCTATCCACCTCTTTACAAGGAAAGGATGGAAAGAAAATGTATTCGGTGAAGGATTGCACACATGGGAAGGGGAAATATCCTCTTTCTTTACGTCTCCTCTTCTATTAATTAAATATAGGTAACAAATCTGTAAATGCTGATATCTATAGAAAGAATGCTTCGCTATTTTGGTGAATTCCGATGACCTTTTGACCTCTAGCAAAATAGTTTAAAAAATCAATGTCTGTCAAATGATGCCTAATTTTAGTCCCTTTTCCTTTCCACCCTTTTCTTAAGAGAAAAGTGGATTTGACGATGGAGAAAACGCATGGGAAGGGGAAATGTCCTCTCTATGTGCGTCTCATCCTCCGTCAATCAAGGATAGGCAACGCATCTGCAATTGCGGATGTTTATGGGCAGCGGTCGCTTCCCATTTCGGGCTTCAGGTGGCCGCTTGCTCGTTTGCCACCTTATATTATAAAAAAAAAGGAAAAAGTAATAATATAAACAAAAAAAAAATACAAACACACATTATGTAATGTTAAATGTGTAGTTTACGTATTTCCTTGTAACTTGCACATGTGATTAGAATTTTTAACAAATTAGTTTATTTTTAGCATGTTTTCAATCAAAACTTAGAATTTCAACTTCAGGTTTTACCAACATTATCAAATAACTACCAAAATTGGAATTAACATTTTACTTTGATATATTTTTAACGAATCTCGCTTTAAACTATTAAATTTGAGTTAAAGGTTTGTTTTTTATTGTAATGATACACATTTATGATATTATTGATTGTTATTAATATAGCCCAGTCACTCTCACCTCCAGGACTTTCTTAAACGAAATTAAATACTTTGCCAAGTATGAATGCGTTTGTATTCGTCGCATGCGCGTCGGCCGCGTGCCTCGACGCCCAAAGGATCAACTATAAATACCAAGCCCATTCAAAAATTAAATCATTGTTGTTCCATTACCCGCCGCGTACGACGCACAATTAAAACTAATGATACAGTGATAATCGTAAAAATGAAGTGTCTTTACATACTCGTGGCTTCTGCAGCCCTGGTGCATGGTTACGCCATCAAGGACAATGAAATCGAAACGACCCGGTTGAAAACAAGTGATGATCTTCTGGATAGTGTGATCAGTGATTGTTTCGAAGCTGAATCCCCGATGTCCTGTCTCAAAGTGAAAGTTCTTTCCTTCTTAGATACCAAACTGGGATTCACCAGCGAGTCGGCGCGGGCTCTCGATGATGACAACATCGATAAAGTCATCTTCGACAGGGTAGGCAGGGTTTTGAACAGCAATGAGTTTAGATTTCAGCTGCCAGAGTTTCTTTTCCAGAGCGCGGAAGTTTCTTATCGTGCTGACAGAGGATTGGACGTTGAATTTCCCGATGAGAAATCAGGAAACGGCGAAGGTATTTTTAACAAACTGCTGTTCTTTTAAGTGATGTTGATAGTTACTTATTAGATTCTTCTTACAGCTCGAGGCCTCTTGAAGAAGAAGCTCCTTCTGCCCGTGTTGCTCCTCTTAAAGCTCAAGCTGAAAGCTTTGATGCCGATCCTAGTAACCATCGTCGGTATTAAGGCAGTTAAAGCACTGATTCTTAGCAAACTGGCTATCACTTTAGTCCTCGGCTTCCTTATCTACAATCTGCTGATGAAGAAAGGAGGTAAATAACAAAATAAATGTTTTTTTTTAAATACTATCACATGATTTTTGACCGGCATTAATTCATATTTTTATTTCACAGGTATGCCAATGATGATGATGACACCAACAGAAGCACCTGCACCTCAATACGGACCCCCAGCTGCTCAATACGGACCACCTTCCACGCCCGCTGCCCCTCAGGACTCTTACAACCCGCAATGGGAGCCATCCAGCTCTGGTCCTTACTCCCGAGTCTGGGATCCATCACAACTCGCCTACAGCTCATACTATCCTGGTGATTCAAACGCCTCTGCGTCAAACCAATCACCGAGCTACTCCAGCGTGGCGTCCGTTTCATCATCATCATCATCATCATCATCACCCACCTACTGAACTGAATCTACCTCTATATCAGAATGTAAATAGTGATCGCACCGAATCGAGCTAGTGCTTAGAAGCTAGTTATTTATTGTCAGTATTTATTGATTTATTATTTATTGTACACAATAAAATGGACTGTTGTTGAAGCTGAAGATTTATTTACGAGAAATAAATAATAACCCATATATTAGGTAAAAAATCCCAACCTAAAAATAAATGTCAACTTACCAAGGTCGTATAAATTCTTGGTGGTCGATTAAAAGTGGTATAAAATTCCAATTCCTTTTGAAAACCCACTAATATACATTATCTTACTAATATTATAAATGCGTAAGTTGGATGGATGTTTGTTAGTTTGTAGCCTAAACTGCTGAACGGAATATCGAAGAAATCTTACTATTATAGTAAATGTGAGAGTTTGGATGGATGGATGTTTGTTAGTTTGTAGCATAAACAGCTAAACGGATTTGGATGAAATTTGGCACAGATATAGCATAGCCTGGAAGAACACATAGGCTACTTTGGTTTTTTTATACCACGCGGACGGAGTCGCGAGCAAAGGCTAGTTTAACATATGTATAATGTATAATGTACAGGATAGTCTGGAAGAACACACAGGCTACTTACTTTTAATAATCTTTTAATTCCCCGGACGGAGTCGCGGGCGAAATATAGAATAAAATAAAACGAAAATTGGTTAGTTCACATATATATTTATTTTTAGAATTGAATATAATTTTACCAGAAGGATAGAGAAAGATTCATCGAAAGTGTTCATAGTCATACAATAGTGGAAAAGTGGAAAAATATTAAAACTACAAATATTAATTATTATTGTCGCCTGTATGGTTTCTGTTATAATTTTAAAATGTCAGAGATACGCTAATTTATTACTTAAAAATGTATTAAATACTAAACAAAATTATAAACTTAAGAATAAATAGAAAGTATTCAATAAATCATGGTCATATAGATCAACAAGGTTACCTGACCTGGTGAGGGAACGAACCCAAGCTGCCAATATCAAAAATTGTACAAAACTCTCGTCGTTCTAAAACTTATCATGTTTATTCATGACATCAAATCCTGTCTAAGTGCATTGTACATTTTTTCTCACAGAACAAATTATGATTAGTGTCTCGTTTGGATGAGGGATCCTTAGAACACATATTTTTTAATTGTCCGAAACTTAAAATTCACTTATATGATATTCTGCCTACCCAAATTCCTAGACCCATTAATATTCCATTCTTGCTAACCTTAGTTTACAGCCCCCTGGTAAAGGTTTTATTTAAATTTTTAATTACCAATGATATTAAACTGTAATTAAAATATATAAATTGTGTATTAAGTGTGTAGTATAGTAACATTGGTGTTGTCCTATTACAGTGCCTCGATTGATATCATCAGCTACCGGTCATTTGTCAATCACACTGGATACCGTCTATCTAGTTAACTGCTACTCAAAATTTTAGTCTTGTTTTATATACTTTCAATTATCTTCAACCTTGACGTTGGCGAAATCATCGAAATAACGATGGAGTCCGCTAAACATTAAAAGAAGAAGAAGATTAGTGTCTCCCTTACCAGCCCAAATAAGCTTGTCACAATAATTATCTATTCATGGGTAACATTGATAATCCTCAGATCACGGTTCACATATGTGTAAATCAATAAACCGATATCAGTTAATTTCAATTTGTTAATATATTTGTAACAGCGTAATTAATTTACAGTCAAACTCCCGCCCGAAAGGCGCGCTATTCTACGTCTGAATGACATTGACAGCTGTCATAGGGATGGACATGTATGCAGATAATCTAGTGTTGTGCCGATTTTCTTCTTAACATTACGATTTGCGTTTCGAACTTAGAATTTGACAGCGGCTCATTCGCTCACATGTTGAAAAGATGTGAACTGCAAATTTAGTTGGTGAACCGTAGCTCAAATTTTCAAGTCTATATTACCTGTACTATTAACCGATTCAAAGCTGTATACACACGTAAAAAATGTTTTTCTTCGTTGCGGCAGTATAAACTCATGGTTATTTATATAGATAGAATATAGCGAGAAGATATAGTGTCAAAAGTGCAACAATTATTAATATATAATATACTTTTAATATCTAAATACAGTATAAATAAGACTATGTACATAGGAGGCTAGGGTCAACTCTCACTAAACAGGTACTATGTCAGGAATTACTAATAGCTGTTGTAAAATGTACTGAAAATAGTTAGTATTCATTTTTAATATGTTTCTTTATTAATAAAATGTTTTTAGACGATAAAACTATGTTCAGTACATTTTATAATAGCGCAAATTCGAATCATTTTAAAAACTTTTATTCTAGAATAGTCGATTCGCACCCTTATATTATTTTAATTTTTTAATATATTTATGTCATATTTCTAATTTATAAGCTGATTGAATAAAGCCTTAAATTGTATCCTTTAATATAAACAACAAATTGGTGTTGATGTTTTTATTTTTCGGTTAATTCCCCATACCTTTGACTTTTAAAAGACAGGACCTGGCAAGTGCCTATTCACTTTACCGAATAAAAACAATCAATTATGAACTTGGTCATTTGTATGTAAATTTTTGAGTTTTTGTGTTTAAAAAGACATTTAAATTTTACATGACACATATGTGTGATTATCATCTTCAAACTAAATTACGGCAAGTAATTGGTTCAATGGCAGCTTGCCTAGTCCAATTCTCTTTAAAAAAAGATTCAGAAGTCAAAGATTAACAGCCTTACAAGTGCAGTATAAAGTTTAACTTAGTACAAATATTGCTTATACTTAGTCTATTCCTACGTTTAACTTTATACCGCGTTTATTTGTAAGTATGAATGATATATGAATTGGGTATAATACATTTCAGTCGCTTATTACAGTCTTACTTAAGGCTCGTTGAAAATTATAATTTTATTTTGTGCTAAAGGTGTGATGTCTATAGGTGTATGTTGCCCTGTTAAACAACATGTATAAGAATACTTTTCTCTCTATTTTTTCGTAGAGAACAAAAGAGATGGCACTATTTTTATACAGGTGCTAAGATAGTAGAGCCATAAACAAAAACGTAAAGATTAACTCGACACTAACTTTAGACTTTAGTGGGTAAGTATTAAGATGCGTTTTCGTGTACATTGTACGTTGACGACTAATATTGTCATCTTTGTTTTGTCAAAGAGTAAGAAAGGGATGACAATATATTAAGAGATTATCTACATTGGAAAGGTTAAAGCTATTTCACAGCCTTCGACTCTAAAGGAGTGCTTTTATACATATTTATTTAGCACAAACAACTAGCTATATTAAAAGTAGAATAGTGTAGTGTTGTTTTAAATATGCACGCATATGACTTTAATATCTCAAAACTAAAAAACAGAGAGATACATAGAGCAGATATTAATTTTTTTTTAAATCTTAGTAAGAATATCCAAGCATTATTTAGTTATAATCTGTGCTTAATTTTTGACAGATCAAGGTCCTTGAAATGCATATTTTTATTTAAATTACATAATACAAGGCTACTAGTACATTTTAACAAACATTAAAGGATTTAGAGTGGTTTTTTATACCTCATATTGTTTATTAAAATATGCTTTTTTGAAAGTGAAATAGGATCATAAAGTGTGAAAACTTACAATCCTAGACTTCATGTCTAACGCGACAGATATCCATGGCTCCTTGGTAAACAATTGTAAGCCACAATTTTACGATTTATTTTGTTATTATATAAAATTCACTTGTTAAAAATTAATTTATATGTTTGAAATATTAAAATTGTGTCATTCGTATTGATATTTAGTCTTGTACAATTTCGTTTCATACATACGATAGTTTACGAAGGAGCCATCGATTTCGTAAAAGTAATGATTAAAATCTATGCCTAATTATATTCAATATTCCATTAAATGGTATATATTTTATTACAAATTGATTTTATCAATCAATACTCCCGTTATTGTCGTCGGTTCTGTTTATTTTTAATCTGTAGTAAAAAAACAATCTTCACTTTTTTAAAACGACTGCCATCTATATTGCCAGTTACTTATTTAAGTTATCAGATATACTTAAATATTCAAAATCCGTTATTACTATTATGTAGATTTTTATAATTAATGAACTATGAGAATGAAAACAGTAATCATTAGATTATTCAAATTAAAAAAAACAGACAAACTGTTGCATAGATAGAATATGCAAATAAGTTTGCATTATGGTGCAAAAGATGAAAAAAAAAAAGTTTAAAGGTTGCAGAGCATCTGCATTTGCAAATGTCTATGGCCAGCGGTTATTTCAATAGATTTAGGTGATTTTTTGTCACCTTATGACATAAAAACTGTAACATTTGTAGGTTATAATTATCATTAATACATTATTTCATAGATATCTGCAATTATTTTTAATATAGATATAACTAGCAATTATTTAAATATAGCTACTAAATGTTTTGGCAGTGATTGATTTTTTTAGGAATACAAATGGCTGTAAAATTTGGACGGTTTGCCCTTTTTTCCCGCCATGAATTGATTCATAGATTAAAAACATTTTGCTGAGCAACCTTAATGTAAAAATCCAATTATTGGACTAATATTTTTCATCAATAAAAACTAGCCATAAAACATAATAATTATGGAAGTGTAATTTTAAAAAAAGGAAAAAAATAAAAATCAGTAAATAAAAAAAAACATTTACTATTAAATAAACACAAGACTGAGTTGCCTTAAAAGAAAACACACACATATTTGTTCTTGATTCAATGAAGTTTACATTTTTACTTTTTTTATTAAATTAAAGGCCAGTAACAAATTTATAAAACAAGTGTATGAATTACTTTCCAAAGAAACCTTATTTAAAAAGTTTGAAATGATTGAACACTTAAAGATATAATTTTCATAATAATTATGGGAAAATAATTACTTAATAGAGTCAGTGTTTCAGTCTGTCAAACTAAAATGTTAATTAACTAATTGTAAATGACGACTCAAGTTTTACTTTATAAAGCTTTCTAAAACAAGAACATTTAAATTGAGAAAAAGAGCAAAAAAATTTTGAGAAATTTGAAAAAAAAAACCACTCATGTACAATGAAAAGTCAACAGAAGTTAAGTTATTTTTAAGATTAGAAAAATCAAATAATCCATACATTATTGTATCTACAGTACAAATTGTGTAAGAAATTTATCAATTAATTATCATTAAAGTTACTACAAATAGCCTCCAGAATCTATTTCTTTGGTGTGGAATTTAAAAAAACAATAAAAAACAACATACAGATGAAACAAATGCAGATGAAATGAGTAAATCAGACTAGATTATTTGTGTAGTATCAAATAATTCATTTTTTGTCACTAATCAAATCAAAACTATATTTATAAATCAACATATTGTTTAAAATATACAGTTTTTAAACATTTCTCATGATTGTCAAACTAAAGCCTTTTTTTCTGTCAGCAAAATTTGAATCGTCATTCCAAAATTAAACTAATCGAGGTAAAAAAAAATCTATTTTATCTGTGCGTTTTAGCAATCATATTGCAGTCTGTTACTTATACTAACCAGCACTTTGGATAATCTTTACAAACTTAAACACTACACATAATAACGCTTTTCACTGCCTTATTTATATGCCATCTCCATTTTTTTCATAGTCAATGAGATAACATATTTGCATATTGCAGTGAAAACTCGCAGTTATATGACAATCTTTACCAACAATAACATTCCTTAAACCATCAATACATTTGAAAACAAACTCTATATTATTGCGATTTATATCAGCTTTTAAATATTACATACAAACATGAACAATCCATATAATTGTTATATATAATTTCTATGTCATACAAATCTGAAACTATCCATAGATTTTAAACCAATATCTATTTCTATCGCAAAGTATAATTTACCTTTTACAGTAATAATATATAAACAAGATAAAAAAGCATGTAAATAAAAAATTAGTACTTTCATTACCTTTATATCTCCAATTAATTCCATTCCACGCTCACAATTCCATAATTCACTTATAAAATACACTTCAAAATTCACATTTCACTTCACTAGTCAACACAACTGTGTAACAGTCACTTCACAGTCCTATACATCTTGCTAGAATGTTCCAGAACATTCCAGCATGTGTTAGTGACCGCTAAAGGTATAACCACATCTTCAGTGACACCAAATCCCTGAAGGTGCCGGAAATTGTGATGCCAGACACGATACCAGTGACCAACATCGCACCGCCTATCATGCCAGCAGTTGAAGCATGCTCGGGGGCCACAGTACTGGAATAAACATTAAATTAAAAAAACTAGTTCACAATGCCAGTAGAGTAAAATCATTGCGCTGGCCTGGTATACATTATACCATATAGAAACATCATACCAGCTAATGTCAGTACTGGCAATATTGTACCAAGGTTAAGATTTTAATATTTATTTATACTGAGCTATAAATTTTAGCGCTGGATTACAACTGGAAAATTTAGGCATACATTGGAATTAACACAATAATAATAGTGGTTCACAATTATGCATTTGTAATCTAGCGCTGGATTTGACTACTGGACTATAATAATGTAAACTAAGCATTACTTTGTAGTAAAATTAATAAAAGTTATAAAAACAGTGTTAAAACCAATCAATTTCGAAAACTACGGTCACTCTTTTTTTTAAGAGAAAGAAAAGGATGGCAGTTTTTTATTTCGGTAAAAAAAAATAAAATTAACATCATTGCTTTCATACAAATAGATTACCATGTACTAGAGTAACATAACTGCAAATAAATATGCAAAGATTCTAAAAATACATAACATGAGGACAGGAGTTATTTCGCCATTTTAGCGAAATTGGTTGTTTGCTCGAATACCAATTACTATACTAGCTTTTACTCGCGACTTCGTTTGCGTAGAACATTAATAAAAATTAAAAAAAAACACTGTATCCTTTGATACAAAGTACCAGGATAGCATAAGTTTGCATATACTCACCCACTGACATACATCATGCCGAGCGAGCTGCCGTGCCCGGAGCTCCAGCCCAATAGCACAGCTAGTAGCCAGTACAACCAGTCAGCTCGCACCAGTACTGGCAATGTGCGCTCGCCGGGCAAGTAGTTGCATACCAGGAACAAAGGTATAAACGCGATACGGAGTGTCGTAAACACCCATAACCACTTAGGATTTGGCTGAAAATTAAATAACTATATTAGTTAGCTGTTGCTCGCGACTATGCCCGCGTGTAATAAAAAAAATAGTAAAAACATAGCCTATGTTATTCACTAATAATAACAGTGCAAGAAATTTTGAAATCGATCCAGTAGTTTTTGAGTTATTACAATTCATACAAAAATCCGACAATACAAAAATATCTTCTTTGTAATATTTGTATAGATTAGCTGTTGCTCGCGTTTTCGTCCGCGCGGAAATAAAAAAAAATGTAAATTATTGGTGTAACAATTTTTGAAATCAACCCAGTAGTTTTTGAGTTACTTCAATACATACCAAAATAAAAATCTTATTTTTATTAAGTATAGATTAAACACTAAAAAATAAATTAAACCAATAAAGTATTTTATACTTACAAATTGCCAAAAACTAGCAGTAAGGTTTCCGATCATTGCCAACAAGTTGAAAGTCAAAAAGCACGTAAGCCTCGTGAAGTTATCTCCGAGGAAACCCGGCGTGATTGGTTGTACCTCTGCAAAAAAGTCAAATATGATTCCTATGAAAAATGTGCAAGTATGAAAATACTAAAAACTAGCTTGGTGAAAAACTAATGGTGAAAGAATTTTTTTAAAATCGGCCCAGTAGTTTTTGAGTTATTTCAATACATACAGAAATTCTAAATTTTTTCTTTACAATATTAGCACTAATAGGAAATTAAGTTAAAGTTATGACAAGACGGTTAGAAATATAAATTTCCTGTCAAACCACAGTTATAAATAAATGAATAAATAAATTAAATTAAATAATGTTTAATCCTTGTCAACACTACAATTATAACAGTTACAATAATTATTACAGTTAGAAGAGCCTTAAAAAATAAAAAAAATAGTTGATTAATAAAAAAATACTCACTGGACTGTACTTCAGGGAACACGGACAGTGTGACAAAGAAGATAATGAATATATTATAGAGTTGTATCCAGGCTTGTTTGAATATAGTGGCGTACGGCGTGCGCTGCTTGTCCGGGCTCGCGTTCTGATTGGTCGCCGCTAGCGCCGGGTTCACGCGCATCGTCCTCTCTTGTAGCGTCTCATGGTAGCGGTAGAATCTCTGAAATGTACAATAAAAACTTTTTATTACAGCGCCATCTATGTTTCGTGTAAATATAACTGCAAAAACTAAAGTTCATTGGTAAAATAGTAATTACTAAATACATTTTTTGGAAAAACAAACTTATCTAAGTTTCCATAGAGACCGTTTTAAAGTTTATTTAAATATGTAACACAATTATTATAGATTTCTCATATTAAATCCACACTAAGAGTCTCCCTCAGTGACCATTAAACATCTCAGAGTGGAAATAAATCTTAAAAATTAATAAAATCAAAATTGTAGCGAAACTTAGGTGCACACAAGTTTATTGAAGAAACCTGCATGTGTTTTAGTGAAGCATTTATTTTACCCACTGTATATAAAATGTGACGTCATCGATGTAACAATTACGTCACTGCGTTGGGAAGTGGGATATGGCAACAATGTAACATAACATTAGTAGGATGCATACCATAGCATTACTACGTAAGCCAGTTTAATTCTATATATACTCGAGACGTTGAAAAACTTTGATAGCGTGATTCAGAACCCACTTAAGAACACTTTTTGTGTATGTTTCAATTTTTTTTTGCCTTTCAATTTAATTTTATCAAATAAACTGTTTAATTTTCATAAATAATTATTTCGGAGGTTTTAATTAATTTAAATTAGAAAATTTATTTTAACAATTATCAAATATTATAGACTAGCTTTTCGCAGCGATTTTGTTTGCGCGGAATTAAAAAACAAAAGTTTTATCTATGAGTAACATAGGTTATGTTTTTATATTACGCGGGCAAAGTCGTGTTTTTTAATTTGATTTAAGTCAGGCTTTTTAAGGGATAAATGTCATACAAATGCGTTAACTTACGTTCAATGGTAACGCGAAGTATGTATCAAAGCAGATGAGCAGAACAAACATTCCAGCTATAAAATAATATATAGCTGAGGTCCGTTTGCTGGAAGTGAAGACATCAGAGAGCCACTTGAGAAGAGTCACCAGCGTGCCGCAGATGTTGGAGCCGAGTACCACAGCGCCTGTGTACTGAGGGGGTAGACGGGCTGCTACACCGTACACTGAATTCTGGAATACCGCGTTGAATGCTGGAAATAATAATAATTGTATATATTAATCTTACTAATATTAATGGGAAATTTTAGATGGATATTTGTTAGAGTTCCCTAAACTCCTGAACAGATCTTGATAAAATTTTGCATAAATGAGGATAGTCTGGAAGCATATATAGGCCACTTGATTTTATTATGCTTAGTAAGATTTTATGAGGTGTGTTAAAAATACTTTTTTTTTCATACTCAATATCTATTTTTAATTTTTTACCAATCTTTGAAAATAGATGGCGGTGCAATCAATTCTGTCTGTATCTATACGTATTATTATAAAGAAGAATGATTTGTGTTTTTGGATTTTTGTATGTATTGAATTAACTTAAAAACTACTAGGGTTATTTCCAAAATTGTTTCACCATTAAAAAGCTACGTTATCTGTGAGTAACATAGGCTATATTTTTCTTCATTATTTTATAACAACATAGTCGCGAGCAACTAGTAACTATATTTCACATGTTCCAGTAATTTAAAAAACTTACCATTTAGTACAAAAACTGTACAAATAGTGATCCAGAAGAATACAACTGTCCAGTCAGTGCTGTCTACCATAGCCAACATGACTGTCACCACAAACACCATCACTTCTATGATCAGCGACCATACTATACGTGTAGTCAAGTTACCACTGAAAATAAAAGAAAATAACTTATTAGGACACTTATCTATACTTCTATAGTGATATAATAAAGCGTAAACACACTACTTCGTGGCGTAGGATGTCAGCAATGACAGCATATTTTTGTACATTTTTTTTAAAATGGCCCTACCCTTACGACACACTTTCCGCTATATATTTTTACGCTATTAAACTTAGGGGGTAGATAAATTGAAAAAAAAACCTTCATGTGGGTAAGGGAACATAAACTACAAGCTGCCAACATTAAGGAATCAAGATTATTATGATAACGGTAATATTGCCATTTGAAATTGGGAATTTGACAAATGTAAACAATAAAATAAAGTTTTTGAATAATTCTT